GCGGGCCGGGTCTGCCGGAGCGGAAATCCCGGCGTTTCCTTGAGGCCCCTGAGCACCCGGCGGGCACTAACATGCTTTACTTAAACGTCCCATAGAGTAACTAAAGCTGAGGAGAGGGAAACCCGCGCCCCGGAGGCAAACAACTCTTTCGGAAGAAGGCAGAAGATGTCCTGAGACGCTAATGAAGATTAACGCCCTGGACGTCAGCAGCCTAGACGTGCGGGAGTTGCTATCGCCTCGACTGTTGGTAGAGTTTTGGCTTTGGGGTACGGTATTTGTTACGTGGTGCTTCAGCTTGCATAGTTTTGTTCATTAGGCTTTATGATGAATGGGAATATGCTGTCCCATATCCGTTGTGGGAGTCCGGAGAAAGTCATAGGTGAATGAGCTTTGCTAGAAGAAAACGTGCATGAGTGCAAGTCTTTATCAGATGAGAGAAGTTAGAGCAATTGCATTGTCTTCTGATTCCTCAGGATTTTCGTGATAAGTCGAGCTTGTAACTATGCTGGTAGTATCCCTGAGGATCCTGGCTCAAAAATGTAAGCAAGTGAATTGCAGATGAAACTTGCTCTTTCTGGTGTGTGGGTTTTCTGTTTGTTTGTTTGTTTGTTGGTTGGTTTTTTTGGTCCCTAAGCCTGCTGCAAGGATGATTGAATAGCACCTGAATTAGCTGCTGAAAAGTGCATCCTGCAGCCTTATGTATTAAGGAAACCATTACTGATTTGGGGTTATTTTAATATTTTGGATTGTAGTATGTGTTAGTGCAGAAACTGTTTTAAGCGCATTTAGCTTGAATGTATGGGAGCAGGGTCTTTGGAAACAATGGTTAAGGTCAGGAGGCGTTTGTAAGGTACACAGTTTGACAAAAGTATTTAATTTCATAAATTATATACAATTTTGTTTAATATCTTGTTACGTAGGCATGTTAGTGTTTCCATGGCTCTGGTTTTGTAACCATTTTTTTGTCTAATTTAGCATGGTGTGTATGAAATGGAAATGGATAGATTAACATTTTCAATAACTCTCTTCCAAAGTATGCAGTGCAAGGTAGACTGTGGTTCTTTGTCGTGGTAGGAGAAAGTATATCTTATAATATTCTCCCTTACAATAGCTTTTTTCAGATGCGTGTGAGCATATGCGTATACTTATAAAGATGTTAATACTGATTGGAGGCCAAACACTTTGTCTTGTAGGGTGAGATATTTTTCAATATCTCTATTAAACGAAGCTTTTTAATTGGAAATAATGACACAAACTTTTAGCTGTTTCTGTATGTCTTGTAATCAAATGATGAAAATCTCATTACAGTTCTTTCCTAGAAGGTGGATAAGATAAACATCAAAAGCTCATAAAATCATAGCATGTATGTTTAGACGCTAAAGGACCTTTTTATTTTGGGACCAAAGCCCAACAATTTTTAAGGCTTTTTTTCAGGGACGAGGTTATTTATTTAAAATGATCTTACATATTCCTTGAAAGATGCCAGCTCAAAACAGCTGAAATTAGGTTGTAGTCAAACGTCTGTCAAGTCAGTTGTTTAAATTTTCTAAAAGAACGGAAGATGATGGATCCAGACTGGATTTAAAACATTACCTAAGAATGATTATCCTGATGATATGCATATGAAATATTGTAATAGAGCACAAACTTTAAAAAAAACAAAAAACAAAAAACTTGAAGTCTGTTGGGGAAATCAGCTGTAGACTCCTGTTTTCTACAGAGAATGATGTCATAGCCACCATAAGCAGAATCAGTGTTTACAAATTTTATTTAGAAGTTTCTGGGTTTAGTCGGCTGTACTTTTTTTTTTTCTCGGTTAATCTACCTTTTAAACATTTCACTTTTTGTTTGCAACTCTTTCATGTAGTTCAGATATGTGTGAAATGTGTTAGCTGAAGAGTAGCTCAAAAGAGAGACGCCCTTACAGTGAGAAAATGAAGGGTTTATGAACCTGACAGGGTGAACCTTTGAAGCTGAGCATATATACTGTGTACAAGGAGATCTGAAAGTATTTGACTTTCCAGCTGTGTAAATTACCTTTTATTATTGGAGAGCTGTGAAATGTTAAACCAGAAGATCATACTGACTTTGTGCTTATGTGTCCCCCCCGTTCCTCCCCGCTTTTAAGGTCTATGTAGTCTCTACAACCACTGTTAGCAGTCATCAGACTATGGATTCAGCATTTTATGTAACAGAAATCTACACATAGTTTGTACATGGTATTGAGTATTGTGACATCAGCTTCTAGAGTTTTGTTATGATTGCATTTAGAAGTACGAAGACTGGGTGGAAGCAAGCTAAAATAAAGGAACCTGTGGTGTAATATTCTGTGATCTGGTAGAACTGAGTAGTTCTATCAGTAGAGATGGAGTCAAGCTAAAAGATGGTTCAGAAACTGAGTTGTGGGTTTTAATTTGTTTTGGTAATAGTATGTCTATTTTAGTGTGTCCACATGGCTTCTACTAAGTACAGATATTTATGCTACCTTATTTCTTATGCCTTATTAAATATGACTTTTCAGCCTTTTTTTACTCTGTGTGCTTGTTTTAACCTCTTTTCCCCTTCTTCCTAATTATTATTGTAAGTGCACAGTCCAGACTTTGACAGTGTAAGGCAGGGTGGTTTTTTTCAGTTTCTTGTATATTGCTGTTATTAGTGATGACCTGATTAGACCTGTCATTTTACCTGTGCAGACTGTGTTTTATTAATGGCTGTGGTGGTAAACAATGTACAAATGGAACAAAACAGTTCACTGAGCTGTTTGGTGCAACAAGGTTCAAGTATTTGAAAAAGCTGCTTATTGGCATTTTTCTAAATTTATTCTGATAGAGGAGTTGAAGAAGCCAATGCTTAAGAAGGTGATCCTTTTCTTTCAGTAAAGCAATTTTCAGAGCGAAGGTGAACTTAAAGGAACAGCAGAATGTTTTCTGGACACTAGAAGAACAACTATACTAGATCAGACTGTGTATCTACCTAGCCTAGTATATTGTCTAAATAGTGGACAATAGTTTATGCATAGGAAAAAGCATAAAAACAGTAGCCTGCATCAGGAAGATGCCACTCTTTGGTGGAGAAAATACTTGTTTGTAGTGTATCTAATCCAATTAAGCTTCTGAATTTCTTTTTGCAGAGAATCAGAATGACTAAAAAAAGGAAACACCAAGAAGATTTCCAGAAAGTGAAATTAAAAGTTGGGAAAAAAAAGCCTAAACTAGAAAATGCAACTGATACCACTTTCAAAACAAAGGCCATACAAATTCCTGAACAACTTAAAGAAGATGGAATGCTTTCTACACAAAATAGGAAGCTTAACATAAAGGTATGCCTTGACAGTATTTTCTGAAATGACAGATAATGACATGTTATTAACCTAAGTTTACTATATTATTATATTTTAGGACAAAATATTATTTAAATATTTTGTAAAAAGCGGTGGAGTATTTGAATAAAGCCCTGCTGCCCTTGACAGTAAGCTGACCCATGGATTTAATGAATTAAATTTCTGGACCAGCATAGAACCTAAGGCAAATGTTATCAGCACTGGAAAAACTAAAGTTACGTACTGTTTTGGGCATGTAGGTTTAACATTCTGTTTTTCATCTTGGATCATAAATTAAGAACAAGGTTTTAAAAAACAGGCCCCCTGAAATTATTTATTTATTTTTTTTAATTTTTGCATGTCTGTGGGTGGTTCTTCCCTTTGTAACTTCTGCTCTCGTTCCTTTACCTATTTTCTCTCTTGCAACTCTCTGCTTAAGTTGGAGAATTGTTGAGACTGAGGCTTCCTAATTCTGCTTTTGAGAACTGAGATGACTTTTTCATGCTTCTCATAAGCTGGTAGAGTAGTATATAAATCGAAGAATGAGGGGAATCTAATTACCTTAAGGACAAGTTATGGTATGTCATTCTTTCTGTAATTGAATTTTGATTATTTGTTCACTGTTATGCTTTAAACCAATCTTGTGTTTGTTCTGAACTTAATACACTGCTGCAAACAGCACCATTAGAACAGACTGTATTTTTGCACATCTAAGAAAAATGTGTTAGAAAGTAGATGGTGCAGTTGGAGCACTTAAAGTAATAATGGTTGCAAACGTGTACATGTGTTTCCTTATAGGATCTGCTTTCACAGATGCACCACTATAGTGCTGGGGTTAAGCAAAACGCTCTTCTTGGGCTCAAAGATCTTCTGTCTCAGTATCCATTTGTAATTGATGCACACCTTTCAAGTATAATAAGTGAAGTGGCAGCTGTGTTTACAGACAAAGATTCTGGTGTTAGAGGAGCAGCTGTTCACCTGCTTCAGTTCTTGGCCTCAAAAATAAGAGCCGAACAGATTGCTCCGTTTTTTCCTTTGGTAAGTGCCCACCTCTCCAGTGCCATGACTCATATCAGTGAGGGAATTCAGGAAGATTCATTGAAAGTCTTGGACGTTTTGTTGGAACGGTATCCAGCTCTTCTTACTGACCGCAGTAGTATATTGTTGAAGAATTTTGTAGAGCTTATTTCTCACCAGCAGCTGTCAAAAAGAGTGAAAAGTAGAGAGAAACTGTCGTGGATGCTGACTGTTAACCCGAATCGCAAAGTAACTTCTCAGCAGTGGAGGCTGAATGTACTTATCAGGCTCAAGAAATTCCTCCAAGCAGTAGTAGATGGATCTAGTGAATTAGAAGATGAAGGGCTCCAAGAACAAAAGGATAGCCCTCATTCTGTGAGGAGCCCCATATGTATAAGCTGGAAGGTCCATGCAAATAATCAGCAACACATACAACTATATGAAAATGGTGGCTTACGACCAAAGATCAACTCATCATTTAGACTGAGGTGAGAAAAATTTAACTTACTCGGGGATTAGTATCAACTATATGTTTACAGTTAATATTAAACTGTGGTTTGTTGCTGCTGAAGACAAGTATTTCATTTTTGTCCTGGGGTTCTTGGTTAGCTGTATTATACAACGTTTAGTGTAATGAGCTATTTTATAGCAATGGCTTGAAAATACAGAAATATAAGCTGATAACTGCAGTAGTTGTATATCATGAACGATCCCATTTTAAAGTAAAAGCTTTGTGTAAGAAAAAGCTATATTTATGCTATTTACAATAACTTTTTTGGAAGGACAGCTTTTTAATAGTTTTTGTATTGCAAACTAAATTCTACAGATTATTTTATTGCAGGATATCAAATACGCATAGGGAGCAAGCAGGCAGATTTCTCTATACTAAAAGGAAGGATGTTTCTGACACTGATGTGTTTACAGTTGAATGCAGTGTTGAAACGCCAGTTGACTGAGTTTGACGTGGCTTTTATTAATGCCCAAATAATGAGCTTGACCCAAACTTTGTGCTTTTACCTTCAAGAATCTACTGTAACTTTAGAAAGAGTCAAATTTCTTTGTCTCAATGTAGCTTGTTTGTCAAAAAGACAGTGTAATAAGAGCCATCTGGATTGGAGTTCTGCTGAATTTCCACTTCTACATCAATTTGCTAACCTTCACTATGGATGAAAGATCTCTTTTGGGAAATGTTGATGAATATGGAAAAAAAGCTTTCTTATCAAGAAACTCTACGGTATAAGCTTGTGTGCTTAGTCACAGGTTTTTTGTTTGCTATTATTAAGTAATAACGAAATAGATCTGAGTTGAAATTTAAGGGGAAATAACTAACAATCTTTGTTTCTCTCTCTCCTTCCTGATTCACCCATTCTTCAAACTGGAGGGAGGAAAAACGCTTTGTTGTTATGGCACCTTCTGAACATTGGCATTCCCATGCATAGGCATTACTGTAGATATTACATAAGTGGTAGTAGAAGTGAAGTGAACTATTTGAAAAGCAAAAATGCTGTTTAGCCTTTCACAGGACTTCTAATCCAGAGATTTCAAATAGTTTGAGAGAGGTCACAATGTTTGTTTTTATTGCTGGGGGAGACTGAATAACAGATATAAAGCAGTTTTATCAAATTCAGCTGGCAGATCAGAGACAAAAAAGGTGTAAAACCTCCCATCTAATCTGTTGCTCTGTCTATCTTATATTTTTGAATGAATTTTAGAAGAACAGGTATTATGTTCCAATAGGTGTGCAAGAAAGTCTTTTCCATCTCCAGCTTAATGACCTGCCAATGACTGTTCCACTCCTGCTGTCTTAGGCTTCTTGGTAGATAGCATGTTACTTGTAGTAGGTATAGAAAATATCTATTAAGCAGAGTACAGTGTGCAGTTGGTATTCACAAAAGTGTTAACTTATAATTAGCATACGAATTGTCATTTGAATGACCAACAGTATCTGCCGCAGTTAAAACTTCAGTTGGAAATTAAACCAATGAAACCCCTTAGGGAGTGGGGGTCAGTGCTCAGTTCAAAACAGTCCTTGTGAACTTCATCTCTGCAGTCAAAAGCAGACGATTATGGACCACTGTGTATGAGAGGACTCTAGTTATTATGCATTGAATGGTACGCAGTGTGCGATATACGTGCCCTGTTGGAGATGAAGATGTGTTGTATCAGAGGTCTCGGAAAATAAACTTTACATCTGGTGTCACCTGAATTGGATTCCCCTTTTTCTGAGGAGTGGTAGATTTCAGTGAAATAGCTGATGATCCACCTGTGGTTATAAATACTTTTAAAAAAGGCTGTTGCAAGCATGAGGAGGAGTGAGCCAGAAGAGTAGAAGGAAACGTTACTAGAATCCAAGGCAAGGTTCACAAAGAAAGCTGATGGCAGCAGAAGAGAAGAATGGAAAGAGAAGGGGCATTCATACCAGGTACTACAATGTTCTCGTTTTAATGCGTTTGTTCATTGTTTTGTTATATTCATTTTGTACATACTGGATATTTACTGAATTTTAACAATGGAAGTTAGCATGGTGGCTTCTGTATCTGACATGAAAAATAAGGAAAAGATATCTGCAACTTGAAGCCCTTTTCTCTGAAATCTTGTCTAGTAAGCTAAAGATGTTTAATTCTGTCTCTTCCAATCCCAGCTCTGGCCTTTACAGTCATTCCTGGGCCTCTGCTGTGGCTGTTACTGTAATGACAAAAATGTCTTCTAATGAGAGATGCAAAAAATCTGCAATGCCCTTTGAGGACCTCCAAACTCTCAGATTATGTGTGTACATTTAAAGCAGTTAACACGCAAATGGTCAAGTCCTAACTTGGGTAGTATGAGTGGAGCAAACCATAAGTGAATGATTTCGGTGTGTATGTATTGATAGTAAGAGGGCTCATTGCTAATACTGCAAATATTTTTCAACTTTATCTTTTAAAAAATAGGATTCCAAACAGATATGCTTATACTATTTTTAATCTTGCAGGTTCTTCAGGTACACCTCATATGTAGCTTTAGTGATTACACAAAGGGATTTTCAGAATCTGTGCAGTTCTGTCCTGAGCTTAGAGCAGGGAACAGTTCAAAGAAGTACACTTTAAGAATCTCTTATTTTTCTAATGTGTGTTAGGTCTTTCTACTGGATGTGAATTAAATATTGCAGTAAATTAGAACTGCTTTCTGCATCAAATTCATTTCAGGTGTAGAAAAATGGAAAGCCTTCACAACTTGAATACCGTGATACCAAGGTGCGTGATCTTTTCTGAACTGGGAGCAGAGCTGAAGAGAAATGCTACGGCATCTGTTGGTGCCAAGAAAGGACAAAATGAACCTGCGGAGAAGACTGGAGAAGACAGAGAAAATGGAAGACAAAGCATAGTGAATATATGTAGTATGACCTGTGCATCAGATAGACGTGGAAAGTTCAGTTCATGTGGGATACTGAGTGTTTTTCTGCTGCAAATAGAAGAGGAGGACAGTAACCTGGTTTAGACTCCAAAAGCCATAAACACTTCCTAAATTCAATTGACTTTTCCTATTTTAAGCAGCAGGCTGCTTTTTCCTATTGTTTGTTTTACACTTCCTTGACTTTCCTATGCTGAACTTCTGTTGTCTTCTTGCTGTCAAGTTGCCGATATATGTTACATAAGGTTTTCTTTTGTTTGCTCCTATTTTATAAGACTATCAGCATTTTAAGAAAAATGACAGCTTAAGAGGCTGTGCATACAGTTAAACGGAGCTCTTACATTTCCCATCAGTAATATTGCATCCCAATATGAAGATAATATGCTTTGTGGTGTTTGAGGGCCACCTTAGCATTAAAGAATAACGATATGGATACATGACAAAAAGGTGAATGTTTTAATTGACAAGAAGCACTCCTAGTTCATGTGAACCTGTATTGCAAAGGATATTGCGGTTATCAAATGCATACTGAGCACATTGCAATAATACTTTTTCATTACCTGTTTTTGGCAGCTGAATTTTGCTGCTATTGGTAGGCCTTTTGCTGCTAATCTTGGGTGTTTAGTAAAGAATGTTTTGAGATATTAGGGCCGCCTTTTGCAGGGGATGATAAAAGTTAGGCTAAATTTTCTTGCCTAAATGCTTTCAGCAGTTGATTATCTCTTTTGGCACTCATTCTCCTTTCTTCCATCCCTGTTTCAAAGAGATGCTGAAGTTGATGGATGCATTCATTATAATTTTATAGGAATCTTCAGGTGTTTGTCAGCTTCTAAATTTTGTCAACCATTCATTGCTTAATGTGGTGACTTTTTTTCATATTCCAGAAATAGATTGGTCTAATTCCAGAGCACTGCTGTGAGTTAGGTGGTATTTTCAGAGAAATGATTTAAAAAATACTACTTTAGCCAATTACTCACACTTCAGAATCTCAACTGAGTGTGTAATCTTGTCATGGCATTTACATTTATTATTTACAGGACAGTAACTTGTTCAGTGAACTTCTAGGTCTTAATGTCAACTTACTTGTCCTGTGGCTTGGTAGGATTCATTATGGTTTTAACTGGAAGATGGGAAAGATGTCTATCTCGTCTGTAGATGACCAAGAGTTGAATGTCTAAATTAGAGCTGTTCACCCTAAACTCTCTTCATAGCCTTGGAAAGAAACTGATGTCTTCAGTGGACAGTTCATCCAAAGTCTTAAGTTGCAATCAGTTGTCCCTTGGAGTGCCTCTTTATCTGTAGTGTATATAAAAGGGACATAGAGCAATCATGTCAGCTATTTGATTGATTGATTCCCACAGACAGCAGATGAATCCGTTCTTAAACGTAGTATGAATTAGTTGTCATCGGTCAACTTTTCTGTATCTTTAAGCCAAATCAAGTTTGCTTCACGCATCCTTTGCTGCTGTTAATCAGTGCTGAATTTAAAAAAAATTAAGATATCTACTAGGTGCAGCAAATACTGAAAGTAACAAGCAAACTTTTAGAAAACTTGTTTTTTTTAACCCTTATGATTGGGTACTGTTTCTGCTTGTCCTATTGTTTTGTGCTGGAGATCTCAACTTCTCTTTCCCACTTTGCCTATGTTGAAAAAAAGCATGTATTGCTTGCCCCATCTGCTTTTTGTTTATTCCTTTGCAGATGTCCTTTCCCTGCTTCCTTTAGGGTTTATGGTTATTAACATTTGACTTCACTTTGGATTAGTAGTTTTTATAAGGTATCAGTTTCAATTAGATAGAAAACTTTATTCTGATATTATAATTGCAGCAGCATGAGAAATGTAGCTTTATAGAATGGTATAACTAATGGGATAATTTGGAAATGACAGGATGACCAGGAAAAACTGCTTGACCTCTTTAATCTAGTGTGAAATAAAATTTTTATAAACAACTTCTCTGCCTATGTGTAGAAAGAAAGCAAACAGTTTTTTCAGAAGTCGTGTTGGGTGTATATGTAAAGAGAAATCACTTTCTAGAGATCATCACTGGAACAGAAAGCGGTTTTATGGAAGACCTGGCATATCAAGTTCATGTACACTAGGAATTTAGGTTTATGATGGTAATTCCTTGCTGTGAGTTAGAAAAAAAAGTTACCATGGAACGCGATGTCTGAAATCATAAGTTGAAGTTATTGCTTACTTTAGGGCAATATCTATCTCAGCAACTGGACATGCTTTGCCGTTCTTTTGTTATCCGGGAACCCTTTTGAAAGCTTATTTTGCTTAAAAAATAGCAGTTCTTCAGGAGTTACTTTCTTTAAGGAACCTTCTTTTTAAAACATAAACTTGAAGTCTGGCTTTGGTCTCAGTTTAAGCACGTGCTGTTACTGAATTCCTCAACAATTGCCTGAATTTATCCAGGGGCAGACTTTTTTTCATTTGTTTGGATAAGTCCTTTTGGGACAGAAGTGCGAAGTGTTCTGAGAAAAAGGTCTTGGATTTTCTTGTTTTCTGGAAGATGTATATTCATTTAGTTTAGTTTTAAGTATAACTCACAATTTCTCCAGTATTTTTTTTAACTTTGCAATCAGACTATTTCAAGAATTTTCCACCAGTTTTCTCTCCAAGAGTATTAAAACTAAATCATCAAAATAGGAACAAGTTACATTTTTGCAGAATTTTTTTTAATATGATAATATAGCTGGAGATCATTGACTGTCTCTAATAAACCTCATGCGTTTGACAGTACTTTGTAGTCACTTTCATTATGTTTCTTTTCTTCATGGAGCTTGAATCTTATGTAAAACTTATTTATTGTGTTGTGCTGAGCACAGTGAAGTCTTGTCTGTTGTTTGAAGGCAATATGATAATACAAATCATAATATTTCTCCATTTGTGTAGACTTTACATTTAATAATGGGGAGAGGAGTGAAATCTAAGACGTTTTAGAAGCACACAAACGTGCAGGGAGACTTGGGAGCAGGGTTATTACAGTTGTTTTTAATTCCTGTTTTTCCTTATAAAAAATATACAGCAAGAAAGCAAGTAAATTTTAATGTATTTAAAAAAAAGGTACTACTTTTTGGTATTATCTGTTTTTAATGGTGTGCCCTTTATCTCTTTTTCTTTTTTTTTTTCCCCCTTCTTCCTGCTTTTGTCATTTAGGTCTCTGGCAAGTATAATGGACAGCGCAGAAAAAGGCCTGTCCTCTGCTGAAAACTTAAAAAGTTTTATTGAGATAATAATTCCGTTATTGATTGAGTGCTGGATTGAAGCATCTCCTGCACAATCAGCTCCTATCCTTGGAAATCTTTTGGAATCAGATTCTCAGCAGCTTATGCAGCAAGTGCTTAGTATAATACATTTATTGTGGAAACTCACAAAGCGGCACGATGAAACATACAAAATGGTAAGGGAGAAGTGATCCTTGGAATAATTATGGGAGTTCATTTTTGTTTTGGTCAGAAATTAGTGATTTGTTGATGGGTGTGAAGGAGATAGTGGAAGTGTTTTAGTAACAGAGAGGAAAAAGCTAGCATAGGTTTTGAGTAAAATACAAGTGTGGGTTTTGGGGGGAAAAAAAAAAAATTCTTTTCACCTACAAAAGCATGTACTGAGCTGAGCTGCCAGTTCATCAATAGGCTCCGGGCATTTTTGGCATGCTGCAGCACGAAAACTTTTGAGACTAAAAGAGGTTTTGGAGAAGAGGAGCATGCTCTGAGAATGTCTAGCTCCTAGATACCCTATAGAATATAAAATTGGAGAAAGTGTGGTATGGAGGTGTTTCTTCCTTGTTTTTATGAGTTGAAAAGTTTTACAGGTGAAGAAAAACACCCAAACCCTAAATCCAAGATCTTGGAAAGGTAAGGAACAAATGTAGTATGATATCCTGTAACTGCTTTGTAGAATCTACGTTGTTATGTTAGGATTTGAAGCCATTGAATCAAAACCTCAATTTGAAAAGCAATCTTGAAATTTATTGACAGATTACTTTTTTCCTTTTTTTTTTTTTTCCCCCATGACATCTTTTCCTGGTCTTCCAAAGGTTTGCAAATAGAAAAAACTATTGTTTTTCCCCTTTGCCTGAATCATTAACAGAGGAATGTATCTAAGTTGGATTGGTATAATTAAAGTTTATAGCTTTCACAAAATTTATGTATAGAGTAATAATTATGCAAAATATTTGCTTAATCAATATGTTACACCAGTTATCAAGCGTATACAGTCTGAGGGGTGAATTTAGCATATCTGAGCAAAGCACTTAAACTGTACTCCTTTTCCTGTTCACCCTTTCTTTTTTGACCTTCTTGGAAGCGAGCAGAAAGCAGGCTGTTAGCCTGGTAAACACCCTGTGGCAGCCTGCTGTCTGCTAGCCTTTTCTTTGGGTATCTGCAGAGCTGCTGCCCCTAGCCATACAGTGCCTGTCTTTTGGTCACATGAAAGGAATGCTCCTGAGTGGAGATGTGAGCTGCTTTTGTGACAGGGCTTGGCTATATTTTGATTGTGTGATGAACAGGATTCATCATATATGGCCCTTGAGTATCTTTGCAAGGGGTGGTGTGGCCTTTGTTGATTGAAAAGTTGGACACTGTGTGCACATATGTGTATACATATGTATGTGTGTACATATATAACACCATAACACCCTGCACTATGTTCCATATAAAATTTTTCACCGTACTGAGAACTTGAAAATCAAACTGATTTTGAACCGCCGTGACACTATTATGCATCCTGCTGTTGTGAGCCGTTTTTGACAAAGGACTTGATAGTCATTTGTAATGACTTGAAAACCCATTTCAGATGTATATATATATGACTGAAAATAACTTTAACTTCAATTAACAGTTTTTAGTTTTATTCTAATATTGTAATAAAGCTACCAATTAAAAAAAATGCAGATCAAATTTGCAGAAATTGTCATTATGTTAAGTATGCTAATTTTTGTATTTATAGTACTACATGCTAGTTAAAGAATCCGTAATCACATCAAAATGTTAAGCTACTTTCTATTTTTTTGGCAGTCAATACATTACAGCTTTCTTTTGCAATGATACTATTCTTGTGGTAGGTATGGGGATGTGATGGTGATGGGCAACCATTAAAAACCCATTTTAGGCACAAACGATTGTGATATGACCTTCTGTCATGAAATTTTTCCAAATGTATTCAAAACTTTTTTGAGGAGATTGCATTTCATAATTTCATCTTGTCTGTTCTTTAGTTGTCCTTATATATTACGTGCATTCAAATGACTCAGTTTGAAAGTGGAAGTTTTGCTTATTAAATAGTCTTTGCTCAGTATGGCATTTTGAGAAACAGTTTCTTAAGGTCAAAGGAATTAATAGAGACATTTTGGAAAATGATTCTGAATATAGTTAGTGGTCACATAATAATTGAAATAGTTTAATGGATATTCTCTTTTTTAATGCATGAGAATGTCAAAAAAAATTATTCTTCATGACCAACTTGATAGCAGTGCAGGCTTTTTTTGCTGACGGGTGCTGCTGGGCAGTTTGCCAAAGAGTGTGAGTGTAAAATTCAAAGAAAAAAAAAATTATACTAGAAAATATTTTGTCAGTGGGCTTTGAGCTACAAGGATGTAAATGGTAGGAAGGATGAAGGCAGTGTCAGGTTATTTTTTCATGGAAAATTCAGGACAGTCAATCCTAATAAGGTTTACTCTAATTACTCTAATTTTAAGTACTCTGATGAATTAATGTAAAAGCACTTTCAGTTCATATCTATAATTGATTTACCATTATATCCACATTGATATGTGCTAAGAAAATGTACTGGTCCAGTTTGGATTAAATGTTATCCCTCCGTCTTGTTTTATATCATATTTGTACTCCCTTGTCTTGCGGACCTTTCAGTTTGTGCACAGGACATCACCATTACATCTAAAAGAAAATACATGTGAAAACTTGCACAGAGAAGCTGAAACTTCTGTTTTCTGTTAATTCCAATAGTGGATTTTAGAAGAGGATTACACTGATGTATTTCATTTAATTTACTCCTATGTTTTCTGTTTATCATCTGCTTTTCTTAATAGGAACTATGGCTTCGAATGAATTACCTTGTTGATTTCAAGCATCACTTCATGCGTCATTTTCCTTATTCTTTACAAGAAACAGTCAAGCACAAAAAGAAAGATTCATGCAAAGGGTAAGACTAAAATCAGTGTTATATTACAGCTTTTCATTTCACTATCTCACTTATTTTGTGTGTATGAGCCAGATGCCTTATCCAGTATTAGGTCTTTAATGTTAAAGAGAGAACTGTTTGTTTTTTATTGTGCGTTCTTTAAAATCTGTAGAGAAGTTCTTACATGATGATAGTGTTAGTGAATTAAGTTTTGATTCTACTTTTTAGAAGTATCATATTGGAAGTCCTCTGAATATCTTGCAGTAGAAATCAAAATGCTGTCCAAGAGAAATGAAAGTATTTTATTGAACACTTGATCTGGAATGTTGTTTTTTAGCTTATTTTGCCTATTACTTATTGGTGATTTGTGATACTCTGATTGTTTTGATGTTTCTGGATGCTTTCTTTAGCTGACTGCAAAACTACGTCGAAATAAAATATTAAAGCCTGTTTCTTCACCTTCATCTGCTCTTCTGTAGTTATAGTAGAGGGACAGCTAGGAGGGAGGATTAGTCATGTTGTGCCTATTCTTCATGGCCAGTCAGTACTGGTAGAGGAGAAGCCAAACCGTTGCGTTCCTCTTTCCTATTGAGCTGGCAGGGTATAAGTGCATGAATTTTGTTCTGGTACAGGCTAGTAGCAGATTGTATCCCCTCTCAGCTCCCAGGAAGGAGCTGGTTTGGAATTCCAGGTGTGAGACAGTATTCACACAAGGTCTCTTCTGGAGTCCTTGTCTACCGTTGCAAGTCCATGTGAAGCACTAGCATATATGCGGTATGAATCATTGAGTGTCTACCTTGGTTTCAAATACCTGCCAACTGCATCATTGCAAGTTGAGCTTGTAATAGTGGAACCTCTTTCTTTACTAAGGGCCCTCAGTGGTGCGAGTTTATTTGTAGTTGAAATCCTGTTCGATGATTCCAGTTGTGTTTTCTCCTCCTGGAAGGGCACATAGGTCAGAGGTACAGCATAGCTCTTAGCTGAAACGAGAGCACTTAACTACGTCTTATTCGTTAAGTTCATAAACAGAAAATGTCCTATTTTTTCAGGTTTTTACCTGGGCTTCTTTCCTTTAAACTGAAAATGAGAGAATTAATAGTTAGGCAATTCAGCCATCTTTCATGTCTTACAGATACCACCCTGACTGAAGCAATCCTTCTCCACTGTGCTTCTATACAGTGCCCATTCTTGCATTTTAAAATAAATATATTGTTAGATAGATACTAAAGAAATAATATGCAAGGTTATTTTTTTGTTTTGACTATTACTTTTGGACTTCTGAAGACTTAGCTTCATGCCATGAATGTAAGAATAGTTGCTTTTGTTTTCCCTTCTCACTGATACGTAGGCTTTAAGGCCTGTATTTAGAAATCTTGCCTGGCATTTTTAAATTTTCCTTCCTTCTCCTGTTTGCAAAACGTTATAGAGATTCATCGTGGTACTACTGATAGCGCTTAGTGTCTTGCGCATTTTGAATATGAAAAAGATATTATTAGCATTTAGGCCATTTGTACATGATGGCCATAGGTTGATAGTTATTTGCTCATATTTTAACAGTTGGCTTTATTGAGCTGAAGGGTATCTATACTTAGGGTAGGTGAAAGTGCTTTTTGTTATTTCATTTTCACAGCTCTATTTCATGTTCTGAACGTTGGTATTCAGATGTTCAGCCTTCTGTAGATGAGTGGGTTTAAAAAAAATGTTTTTTTCCTAATACACTATGGATCACCAGTCAGCAAGTGCACATGTTCTAGCATTAGAAGGCAAGCTAAAACATTCTTGAGTCCTCTCTTAGTATTCCTTAATTTTACTAGAGCTCCTTTCAAACCTCTATAGGGCAGCAGGGTGGCGGAGCTGCAGAATATTGTGATGTTGATAAATGTTTTCTGATTCAATATGATTTTAGAAAAAAGCACATGATTGGATTTCTTTGCCATTCATGGGGCTTCCTGTTGTCATGAAATAGTATTCTTTATGGAAGAAGAGATAAAAGAGAGACTGACACTAAGCAGTCACTTCTGTAGAGTATGCAGTTGAAGCTGTTTACTGGAGTTCCTTTTCCTAGTTGAGTCACCTGGAAGTGCTGCTAGGCCAGGGCAGGAATGTCAAACAGGAGTAACCAGCCAGAGGGATGCAATTTAGAACTTCTGTTGTTGCTCCCGTTACAAACATGAGAAGTTCCCACATCTTGAGGAATAACCTGGAAGCTTGCCATGTGTGCAGAGATTTCTGGTCCGTAACTAAACATCTTGTTGGTAGAACAAGAAGTTGTCATGGTGGTTTATGAAGGATAGCCTAATACTATCGTAAATAGTTTAGTTTAAAACATAAATTGAATAGCAAAAGTATTGCCGCAGATATGAGTACTAGTGCTGGAAATCTTTCACCAGTTTCGACATCATTAAATAATTTTGGGCAAAGAAAGAGGGGAAATACAGGTTCAAAATACTAAATCGGTTTCAGAATGTAATGCTTTGTTTTGGAAACAGCAAAAAATGTTCTGTTTACTGAATGAAACTCTAATTTCCTAATTTGAAATAGTATGCATAATTTTAAAAAATTGATTTTAAGGACTAAACGACCTAAAAGCAAACCAGAGGATGTTTTAGTAACGCAAAATGACTTTAGCATTTTTTCATGTGCAAAAACCTGAAAATTTGTCTCTATTCTAATCCCTTAATCGCTCTTAATTAAGTTCTAATCACAACATTTGGCAATGTATAAAAGTTTACTGATGATTTTGCAGAGATGGGTCTGATTTCCTGATTTTCGTTAATGAAGCATATTCTTTTCCCTTCCCTGTGCCGAAAACCTTACAAAATAAATTAAAAATTCTTCTATATAGTGTAATTTCTACCAAAGTAGCAATGTATTAGAAGTATAAAGTATCATTTAAAAATTTCTCTTTTATTTTCCTTAGCAACAAGTATTGCATGGCATCCTCAAACAATGTAGACCATCTTTTACTGAACTTGACCTTATGTGACATAATGGTTTCACTGGCAAGTGCTTCAACACTGCAGACAGATTCTGGTTGGCTAGATATGATAAGGAAATTTGTGACAGATACTCTTCAGGATGGCAGCAGGTTGAATAGCAAACAGGTGAACAGATTGCTTGGTGTGACTTGGAGACTGATGCAAATACAGCAAAACAAAGGTAAGATGTGAATAGTTTCTAAAGAGCCAAATATACACTCTGTCAAAGAGCTTGAGTTATTCTGGCATTTTCAGGTCACTTTATCTTATATCTTCAGTTACTTCATAATGTATTTTGTCTGTAGAGGTAAACTGAATTTCATGGTTATATCCTTGCACTTGGCATTGAAAATTGCTTGATTTTTTAGGAATGCTGTTAGATTCGTACTGTTGATATGCAAAGTAGCAGTATATTTCTGAACCTGTTTTTCTTTTTACCTTTTAAGAAGCTGTTACATATAAGAAGGCAAAGAGTTTTCTTTTCTGGGGCGGAGGGGGAATCATGTAACTCGACATCTTACTACTACTCGACTACTAATTGTATTTTAATATTCCAGTCCTAATTTTAAATCACTAATGCAGCTTGTGTAATGCATTACATCAGTAATGTCTGACCATTCTAGTTCTATGATGACATGAAATGCCAAGATAGTGCTGATGAAAGCTGCTGGAGTATATTTTCCGAGATGTTTGATTTGAGTTCTTTAGGGAAAACAAATTTCCAGTTGTGACTTGTAGGACGAGTACAGGTTCATTGGTTTTGTTTTTGTGTGACTTTTCAAGTACTGCTTGATTGTGTTGCAGATAAAACCTTGCTTGACATGTCTACTCAGTTATTATGTAGGTCATCTTTAAGAAAGCAATTTTCCGGGAAGTCTAAAGGTGGCAGGGATTTGTTGTGTTTTGCCGGTCTGGTAGAAGTGAATTCCACAGCTGAGTAGCCAAGTGCAGTCTATAGAAAGTGCTCCGCCCTTGGTGGCAGATTTCACTGTATTGTAAGATAAAAAGATGTCAAATGATCCTTCAAATACGTTTCGGCAGTTAGTATGATATCTCCTTCCAAGTCCCTTTTAATTAGGGATCCATCTGTTCCTGTTTCCCTGACAACAAAGATAATAACTAATCATTCCTACCTATATTCCAAAGTTAGCTTCCTACTGAAGGCAAATAATAGATGCATCTCTGACTCTGGACTGTCTCATCAACTGAGCTAAAGCAGAAGAGTATCTACTCAGGAGAGCACTTTCCCAACAATTGTTAAACTGTTAAATCAGACACCGCACTCTTCCTAGTAGTGAAACATTCATTTTGCTTAGTCTACCAGACTTTTGGTGGATAAAGGGGAATATCTAGTCTTTTCTCAGCAAAGTGGCCGTTTTAGTGCAGTAAGTTTCCTCAGGAATGGAGAAGGTAAACCAAATGAGCTTAAAAAAGCTTCAGTGAACTTCTGCAAGCTGGATACGTGTGGATCTGTCCCCTGATTCTGCTGAAATTTAGGAATTTCATTGCAAATAGGAAACCATTTTGTTTATCTTGGGAATCTGCATCTCTGTGTGAAAAATCTATCTCAACCCTTCAACGTAATCCTTATATAGTACTAAAACATGAGAAGATGTTGGCTCAAGCTTCATTTTCTGGATGTAGAGGAAATATAAAGGAAGCTTTTTTTTTTTCTTCTTTTTGTCAAGTTTGATGGTGCTCTAGAAATTCTGAATTGTGTTGTGTATGATAGTCTACTGTGATATTGCAAAAATTAGTTCTTACCCAAGATAAAACTCTTATGTTAAAACATATTTTAAATTGAGGGCCTGCAAGGGAAAGCTTTTTTTCTTTTACATTCTCTTCTGAAGGAGGAAAAAAAAAAAGCCACTAAAATAAAATTTCTTATAACAGAGTGGAAATCAAAATAGAGAATTAAATAAAACCATAGTCAACCTCCTGAGCATTGTGCCTTCTGAGTATGGTCATGTTTTTCCAGGCCTTTTTTTTCAACATTGTCTCTTTTGTGTGTGGTTTTTTCTCTTTTTGTTTTTTGTTTTGTTTTTATTTTTTTTTCCTGAGGTGAAATGCACGTATCCACCATTTATTCTAGCTGTCTAGAAGAGCTTTGAGTTGTAAACGCTGAAGATTCCTCTCCATCTCTATTTGCTCTCTGTAGTTAGCAAGGCCTGTTTCCTTCTTATTTCTCCTACGTATGACTGTAGCAGCAGCTTACCTGCTAGTTGTAATTTTGGTAACTTTTCTTCAAGTAACAAAGAGAGCACACACAGTCACTTCAGAAGAGGAGGAATGTTACCATGTGCCCATTTAAACAGGTTAAACTTGAGGACATTGGTTACGTTTTGGAAGGCCATACAATGTGGACCTTGTAAATACTGCTTTTTAATAACACCTTTTAAAATTGCTTCTGTTTTTAAACTTATGTTCATACAAAACAATTCAAATAGGATCTGCTTTACTTGCAAACACTATCTTGTTGTCTCTTTATTCATTTGTGTAGTTCTTTAATAAGCTGCACAGAAATGTGTTGTTTTGATTTAGAAGTTTATCTAGTAGTTATTTCAAAATGTTTTCATACTTCCCTGTGGAGATAACTCTAGATAGGTGCAGGTATAGATTATAGTCCCCTCTGTGTGTGTGTTTGTGCACATGTATGTATATAATCAGAAGATAAAAAGCACTTCTTAAACTTCAGGGTTTTTTGTGTATTTTCTTTCTAGTGGCAACAGAACCCTTGATAAAAGCAGTGTATACACTGTACCAGCAAAGGAATCTTCTCTTTCCTGTTCGTACATTACTTTTGAAATTTTTTAGCAGAGTTTACCAAAAGGAAGATTTGAGAGCTCAAAGAATCAGGTAAAAACCTGTATGTTTTATTTTTCATTTCAACATTACATGTTTATTTCCAAAGTCTTGAATACTGAATTTCTACTAGATGTTCTAAAACTTTGTTGTGGAAACTGGTGTATCAGTTGTGTCACTGAAAATTTGAAGGTTCTGAAATTTAGGTTCTGTGTGAGGTATTTGAGACTGAGAGAGATGCTTAGATGTGTTTTTTTTTTTTTCTTACATAAGCACTGACTAGTTAAATCTTAATGATTTACAGTTTTAAATTGAAGTATATTGCTGCAAGCTTATTGTTATAATTGTGCGATTGTCCTTCCCAGATGTCTCAGCATTGTGCAGCTATAGCTATGCAGCATGTCATTCCTCCAAACTGAAATCATGGACTTGTGGGCTTGGTGGTTCTGTTAGTACACAGCTAGCCTCTTATGTTTAACAACTTAAGAAAACTATCCTGCTTCTATTATTTTGGATATGTGACTCTAAAGGCTTAAGGAGACATGTTCTTGTCCTTTCGGGTTCCCAGTTTCATGCTTCTATTAGATACCTGACTTCTTTTAGGTAAGAGAAGATCATTCTCTATATTTTTATGCTATCTGTAAATTTTCATTCTAAGATCTGTCAAAACTGTTTCCAAGTCTTAAGTTTTCCGGAAGATACTTTTCAGCCAAGTCATCTGGTTCCAACTATGTAAAATTCTTAAATACCGACCAATCTTCATCAACCCTACCTCCCCTGAGAAGTGAGAAAGAACAACCTCAGATATGGAAACAAAACATTAGTGCTGGAAACAAAACTGAATTGAATGCTGTCAAATTAGTTCAAAAGAGGAGGACTGGGTAAATTTCATTGCAGAGGCTTGAGAGAGCTAGCATGTGAAAATGCAAGTAGTAAGAACTTTGTTACCTGTGAAGGTAGGTAATATAATTTGGATTTAGATTTAAAAATGGCATAGCTATTAGAGAATGGGAATATGTGGTGAGATACAATGGAAGTCTGATTATTCTCCTCTTTGAGGAGACAGCAGATATAAATACGAGGTAAATGTGGACTGTGGTGAATTATTTGGCATGGTGCTCCCTGAGAAATTATTACTGCTAATGGCAGTTATGTAAAAATAGCACTAAGGAAATCGGCATCCTGAGGATTCTAAGACTCTCACAGTCTGCCAAACGCAGACTGCTGCTGAGCGCGTGTTGCAGAGGTACACACACAAGCACATGGATGTGTGCATGGGTAGTATGGACATGGCTGGCCACGCAGATCAACATAGACGATCAACACAGACAGAAAACAGTGCTTTTACCAGTCCTTATGTAAACCTGGACAACACAGAAGGCCTGACCCTGTTCCTCTTCTCTGACTCGTTAGGTATGAAATTCACTAGTGGAATATATAAACTCCCTTCATTCATAAAACACACTCACATCTGCAGGTCCCTCAAACTCTAGAGCAGAACATAAGCCTATCCAGAATTCTTGTCTGGACCCTGGACCCCTTTTATCGGGGATCCAGCTCTGACCATGGGTCTTTCCAGATTCTGATCTTCTACTTGCCTGCTAGTCTGGCTTGAAGTCCGCTCTGTAGGAACACCCTAATATAAACTTTTTGGTAATATATAGTTCAGAAGCATTTTCTGAACAATGTAAGATAGAAGTAAAACAGGAGAACTGGATGATCTGAAGGAACAGTATAATAGAAATAGGAAGAGGGGTAGCTCTACAAAAAAGTTATGTACACTTAGCAACTAACAGTTTTTTTTGTTTGTTTGTTTGTTTTTTACTGTAAACTTTAGCCAGTCCATTGTAAATGGTCATCCTCTGATTACTCTTTTTCCATCTGTGTGTTGCTTGTGTGGTAAGGTGGTTAAAAAAGGGAGTTTAATTTTTAGAGGTAACAAGCTGTCGCAGTAGCTGTATGGAAGTATTACTATCTTTGAACAAGGCCATTTGATACCTCATTCAGGTGACCTTGTTTGTTGTTATGCCCAAGAAAACCCAAACTGTAAGAGCTGCAGGACGAGCTTGAACACTGGATTCCTCCCACTTGTGTTTAAATTAGGTGATGCACATCAGAGGTATGGTTGCCTGATGCTTTGGGTAAAGTCAATAGAGAAGGATAGGCATTCCAGGAGGACAAATAAGATCTTAAAAGGGCTGTTGTCACAGCTGTTTAAAGTATACGTGAAGAAATTGACTACCTCTACTTTTAGCTGGAAACTAGAAGAAGGTTTCTTATAATCAAACAGCATGGGGCTTTGTGATAGCTTTCCAGAACAGAGGAGGATGATGTGGAGCGGAATTGATATGGGTGTAGCAGTAAAATCTTATATGCATATCACTAAGATGTGGATCTTAGGATAAAATGTATCCTTGGGAGACTTTAGGTGGCTTCTTACTCTCATTTAAACCAGGAATCTGAGCTTTGCATAAGTGATTTTCTGTCTGCTTCAGTGTATTTTAGAACCTTCACTTTTTCTTTCATTAAGAAAAAAAAAAAAAAGCTGTTTACATTTAGAAAGTGAAGTTTTATTGGCTAGGTGTGCTGAAATTTGTGGGCCAGATGTGTATGCAGGGTATACCTGAAGGTGCTGAAAAAGTTAGCTGGTGTGAAGGTAAGGCTATTGCTTGTCACTCAAAAGACATGGCTATTGGAGGCAGTTCTTTACACCTGGAAAAAAACTAGTGTTAACCCATCTTAAAGAAAAGAGGATATGAGGGACTTTAGGCTGATCAGCTTTATCTCAGTCCCTGGAGAGACTGTGCAGCCCTTCCTCTTGGAATCTATTTCCAAATGCACAGAGGACAAGAAGGCAATCAGGAACGAGTTAGTATGGGTATAGAAGCAAATCATGCTTTACCAACATGATTGCCTTCTGTGATGAATGACTGGCTGGGTGGATAAGAGGAGAGTGTTGGACATAACCTTGCCTAACAAACTGTATTTTCTGATGCTGTGTTTCACAGAATTCTCAATTTGAAGCTGAGGAATTTGGGGCTAGCTAGACACACTGAAAATGTGTTGAAAGTTGACTAGGATCAAACGGTACTGATCAATGACTTGGCATCTGCTTGGCGTCCAGTAACGAGTGTGTGAAGGGCTGATGCTGAGGCTAGTGTTCTGCAGTATCTTTGTCCGTGGCCTGAGTCATGAAAAAATGTGTGCTCAGCAAATTTATAGATAGTGCTAAGATAGAGGGAGTGGATGATGTGCTGATGGGTAGAGCTTCAACTCAGAGAGACTTACTGAAACTTGAGATTGGCCAAGAGAAACTGTATGAAGTTTCAATAAGTACATTCTGAAGTTCTGCATCTGGGGCAGAATAAGCCTGTGCATCAGTTCTTTTAAGCAAACAGCAATGCTAAAAGGAGCTGGGGGTTGCAGTAGATGTCAGCCTGAGTATGAATTATCAGTGCGTTTGCCTCCTGAATAAGGCAAACCACCCTGAGCTACGTTAGGAAAAGCGTGGCCAGCAGAAGAGCAAGAATTCATACCTGCCTTTGCTCAGTACTAGTGAGGCCATATGTGTAATGCTGTGTCTGGTTTTGACAGGAGCAAATTATTAGTTCCGTGGAGCTGTACACATCACCTTGTGGTGCAACTGGTAAATTATGAAGAAAAGAGGTTGAAGTGTAGTTCTGCTTTAAAAAGTCACTATAGAAAGTTCATCTCTTGACTTTTCTTGTTTGTTCATTCTGACTTTTATGTCAGATTTCCTTCTCTAACTGCTAATCCTGTAAATTGAACTCAAGTTATTTTCCCAGTTGTCCCTTAATGCTTATTTTCTGCTCTTAGTGAACATCAGCGCCGCATTGGTGTTCGGGGGCAAATAAATGGCTGTATTAGCTCAGTATGGCTTATAGCTATTAAAAGTAATCATTTCTTTTTGTTGCTAAAGTTTTTGGTGTAATTTTGAATATACAGAGGACCATATCTATTGAGAAAGTGTGTGGATTCTTTTTTTCTTTTTTTTTAATAGCAGCTATGGGAGAGCCACGTTTGTAGTAGTTTGCCTGGGTATCGTAGAAGATCAGTGGCAAAGCTGTAAATTTGAAATCAAGAATCCTCACCTTAATTCTTGTGCTAACTATGAAATTGCACTTTAAAATTATACTTTTAAACTTGGAAAAAGTGAGTAAAAGACCTACCTGAAAACCTTCATAAAAGTAATTGAATACTTCTTTATAAAGAGAAATACAATAAAAACAAAAAAGGGAAAACAATACTCTGTAATCACCCTCGTCAATTTCTTCAGGGACAAAAGTGAAGATTCATTTGGGACAACTTTTTTTTATTTTTAAAATACCTGTACATATTTTAAAAACAAAATTCTTTCCTGATTAAAAAAGGAAACCAAGGTTGAAAAATGAAAAGGATTTTTGGATCTTAGGGAGATGGGAAAGAAAAAAAGGAACTTGACTTTTGTAGACAGTCTGTTGGCTATAATGATTTTACAGGGAAAGAAACTAAATTGAAATCATATTTTCTGCTTTTATGTAAAGCAGCAGGTTATAGTTTTTCATTCTGCCTTAAGATATATCTAAATTGAACAGCAAGATGTCAGCAAAGATAGAATTGAATTTGAAAGCCTCGAATATAAAGAGTTGTAGCTTGATTGAGGAATTGAATACTATTCAGAGTGTAGTAAAAATCATTAATTTTTAGTTTGGCTCATAATTCATTAAATATGATGGAATGGAAAAGCTGCTTTGCCAGCCTACAGTCAGTTCACACAAATACTTTCTGAAAGAGTTGAAATTACGTAGTGCAGAAATCATGGCTCAAACAGGTTGTGTGTGTGTGTGTATGTGTGTTTTTGTTTATTTTTTATAACCCCTAGTAGTGCATCAATATGCCCAGACTTTCTAGTGAAATATTCTAAGCAAATAATAAATCACAGTATTGCAGTTTATTGTAATTTAATTATACTTAAATTCAGTTTAGAGTCAAGACCGGAAAGGATACGTTTTATCCCTGACTAACTTTCCCCCTTTCTTTAGAAGCCGAAGTAAAGTTTTATCTCGTTGGTTGGCTGGCTTACCTCAGCAACTTGCTCTGCTTGGCTTGAGAAACCCTGAGCTTTCAAATCAGCTGATTGATATCATTCATTCTGCTGCTTCTCGTTCAAACAAGGAATTATTACAAAGTTTACAAGCCACTGCTGCTCGCATTTATGGTAAGATTTCTGCACTACAGCACAATGAATTTTGTCCATCACTGGACCAGAAGGTTGCAATATGTGGAAAATACTGATGTTTCCTAGGTAAGCGTTTAAAACAAACAAAAAAAAAAACCCGAAAAAATCCAAAAAACCGAAAAATCACTCAGATTAAATTGTAATGATTTCGTCCATAATAAACGTTAAAAAGAACTGTGTATGTCAGTTTCTCTTCTGAAAGACTAGTGAAGTGATTAATATTTTCAGTTAAAGCTACCAGGTCTTTAACTTGATAGATCAGAAGCTTCAGTTTTTGTGAAGTTTGGATCTGGTAATATTGCTTAATTTTCTTTTCCCAGTGTTCTTAATTACAGCATTATATCTTCAGTAAGTGATATATAGTAGTGATGTAGCTAAGCAAGTATCGTTAGAAAAGGGGAGGGGAGGAGTTACTGAACAATTGTTGCAATGTTTTGCATGAGATACTTACCCCATGTATTGTTAAAAAGTGCAAAATTTTTTGTGTTTGTGAAATTTTACTTTTGGCATTTGAATTCCTTTTGCTTGTATTTTCCAATTATATTTTTCTTCCATTACTTTGATGTATGCTTTTCACTGTTTCTGCTGCTGCTTTGATTGAATTTGAAGGTCTGACTAAAGGTGCAGGTTTAAGTTATTTTGGATCTGGGATGCTCTTTGTCCTTAGCTAATACTGTGAGAACCTAGTCTTTCACAGTGTGGACTTCTTGCTATTTTGGCAAATACAAGCGATAACATGCCCATGTGCTGTTAAACACATGCTCTCTTTCTTTCTGGGAGTGATGAGTGAACAGGATTCTTCTGTTTATGTGAAATAAAATGTATTCGGGTAAATGACGGTGACTGTACTGTTGTAAGGATATTTTTATTACTGCTGTGTTGATAATGAATTGCCTGTTTGCATCTATGGATTTGTCTACTGAAAACATACTTTGCTCCAGAATTATACTGTTGTGCAATCTGGCGATTTTATTGTAAGCATTGCGATATTTAGTCTGTTTTCTTGAGCATTGCTTCTAAAATCAAATGATTCAAATCTATTTGTAATTTCAAGAACGAGGAGCAAAAGCTTATCTTTAAGATATGAATTTGGAAATGTGAGGCAAGCAGTCTTGTACAGGTTTAGAAATCACAAGACAGAATGATCCCCTAATTAATATCTTTAAATTCAAATCCATATACAAATAACTTTTTTTGGTAACTCGACTCAGTCCTTTGTAATGCTTTGTGGAAGTGGTATTGGAATTAGCTGTCTTTTGATACTCATTTCCTATAAGATAATCTGTTGCTGGAAGGAAAATAATCTAAATATAAGTTAAAATGCAAGCTTTTGTCTATGAAGAATCTCTCTCTCTAGAGCATCATTATTTCTACAGGTCTCTAAGAAGAGGAACTCTGTGGAGACTTCCTTACCTGAACATAAAGAAGGCAGCAGTTAACAAAAGAATTTTTGTAGGGCTTTCTCTGATGTTTGCACCATGAAGGACATTTCTGGACACTATCTGGACTTTTTTATAAATTAAAGTTCTTAAAATACTATGTAGGTGAAAAGTGTTTGACGCTATTCTCTTTCTATCATTGTTTTACTGCAATTTTGACTCCTTTTATTTTCCCACTAGCCTTCCTTATTGCTTTTGCTACCCTTGCTTTCTCTGCTGAGCTGTGTGGTTTTTTTTTTTTTCCCCTCTTACTGTGGGGGTAGGTTGCTACTCATAGTCCACATATCTATAGTCCATACTGTATTTTTGACTTAAAGGAAACTGGCTTTTCTAGAGTAGTACGTTTTCAGCGCGTTGGTAATGTTAGAAGGAAATATTTTTTGTGCCTAGTTTTTAATTCAGTTCTTGTGTTTCTGCAGATCCACTGGATGGCACCCTGGTTCTTCTTCCAGCTGAGGCTCAGCGCCGGTTAGTGCAGCTGGTGTACTTCTTGCCATGCCTGCCTGCAAGCTTGCTTGCTTGCCTAAGTCGCTGCTGTATTATGGGAAGGATGTCTTCAGAGCTAGCAGCTACTCTTATTGGGATACTACACATGAGGTAAAATGTTACACTTATGTTTTAATTCAACTGTTTTTAGAGCAATTTGTTTATGGAATTATTAAGTAAACTTTGTGCATGCTTAAAAAAAAATACAGCATGTAAGAATAGGCTTCTTGAGGAAAATTAATGCTTCTGTCAAATTCCACTCCTAGCCTTTCACTTTCACAATATCCTTACACTGATGTGTTTTCTCCATTGCTTTATGACAAAATTGTATTTATTGCCTTTAAGGCTGTTCTGTTTTGAGCACCCTCTACCCAGAATGTCATGACTGGTCGTCTTTATTCTGCCCCAATTGCAGGTTTTCCTCACAAATACTTTTACATGATGTTTGTTGTAGTGGAGGAACAACTAACCAGTGTGTATTCCTATATTCTGTCTTGTATACAGATGTTGAAAGTGCCTAATCATAATTGATAGGCAAGTGTCTAGTTGGAAATTATTTAATCTTTTTTGCTGTTTTCCTCCTGACTTGAAAGAATTTTAAGTTTTGACTATGAAGTCAGGAGCAAGACTGTCTCACTGAAGTGAGTGGAAGACTTGCTGTGATTTCACCGTGGTATTTTGCTTTGCTCTTCCTTAAAAAATGCACTTTCTCCCCATTGCTCAATATTGTCGGAGCCTGGATAAGTAAGAATTGGGAATTACGCTTCTTTGAATTATACTTGAAGTAATTTGTTTTTCTTAGCGCTTTTTGTAACTTTTTTTGAAATGAAAAATTAAAATATGTGACAAAATAATGTATTGTCAAATACAGACTGGTTTGTATTAGCTGTATAACGTTAAAACGCTGATGAATAAAGTGACTAATGTATGAAATGATTATGGTAAAACTTATAACATGCTATACATCATGTATTACTATTATAAAAATAAAATGCTATGTAGTTTTGGGAAGGTGGAACTCAGATTTTATAGCAGAGTTCTTTGCCACATACTGGAAATTCAGTGGCAGTCTGTAGCCGATTCAGAGGCAGTCATTGTAAGAACTTAAGTCAGTAATAAGCATTGTGTGAGGCTTCTTTTGTTATTAGATATTATCTGATTCTCTTATGTGGGAGATATTTTACACTAATTAACTGCATTCTAAATATTATCAGAAAGCTGCAGGGCTGGGAGCACTTGGTCCTTTTGACAGAAGACATATGAGGCAGCTGGGGAGTATTTTTGCCCAAAAGTAGTTTACATCTTGGCAATGGGAAAGGAGGGATAACTTGTTATCAGTGGTGCAAAGAATGACTTTAATTTATGGCATTTGCAAGGTGGTTTAAACAAAGCTGGATTCAAAGATGTATTCTGGGTTATCTATCTGAGAAGGCAATCTGAAGTAACTATATGGAAAAAAAAATAGTACTGATGTAGTTAACTCTAGTGCAGCTTCTTGTATTGATGAGCCCTAACAGTCTTTCTCTGGGGAGATTAGAGTTGTTGATGGAACTCCACGTGGCCATGTTCACTGTAGAAAAAGAGGTGTTACACGGGAATGAATGTTTTTTTTTTTTCCTCTGGTAAGGCAATTCCCACTGCATTACGAAGAATCAGTATTAAAAATCAGAACTGCAGCGGTTTTCTTCAGAATTGTATCTAAAAATAATGTAAGTTCTAATAAAGGTTGGAATAAGTCTCTTATAGACAAGAAAGTAAATACAACAGCATTGAGAATACTGTCTCACATTGCCAGCTTAAAGTCTTGTAGCACAAGTTTTGAAGGGCTTTTTGATACAACTTTTTTTGTTGTTTATGATCATTAGTGTTATAAGAACCTCATCCTAGGATACTTAAAGAACTGGCTGAGGTGATCTCAGAATTGTTAGTGGCTTCCTTTGGTAACTGCTGAAGGGCAGTGAAGTATTGGAAGACAGAAGGTGGTGTGATGTCCTTTTAAAAAACAAAAAACAAAAAAAGTATGAGACGGGGGGAAGCTTTAGGGTCTTGCAGACCAGTTTGCTAAATATAACCTTCTCAGACTGAGTGCCAAACCAGCTTTAGAAAGCATGCAAAGACAGCAGGGAGATAAGTAACAGTTAAGGCAAACTTGTCAAGAACACAACAATCTAATTATCCTTTTCCTTGAGAAAAGAAGTTGTGCAGTTAAGGAAATTGTAGTGTGTTTCCTAGATCTAAACTCTGACTTGGCTTTAGGAACTTCATTACCTGTCATTGCATGCAGGATTCTTGAGGTAATTCTCCAGCTCCACTCATCATTAGTAAAGTGGCTGGATTACGTCCAGCTTTGTGGACTGCTTTCAGAAAAATGATGCGGATGAACTGGCTTGAGTCTAAAGGAGAGCAGACAAAAAACATTAGTCTGTGAATTGTGGCTATAGGGAATGACCGACAAATGAGCGTTGTTAGGCTAAATACAATAGGGAGGGGAATGCGTCTTTGTGTGCATTAAAGGCTGTTGAAAAGAGATGGGAAAAAGCAGTTTTCCATATATGCCGTGGAAAGGACTAGAAATAGGAGTCTTGAGTATCAGAAAAAGACTTGGTTTGAGTGCTAGCAAAAATTTTTTAACAGAGAGATGTACTGGAATAGACTGTTTAGGAAGAAGGTATGGGATCTATTCACAGGTATTATTTAAAATCATGTTGGATGAAGTTATATTGTGGAGGACAGAGGTGAAGCCTTAAAGGAAGTAGATGGACTAGGTAACTTTTAGTCATTTCCAGCTCTTGTGATTCTTTGAATTAAATATACAAGGTTTTTGGTGGACTACTGTTTTTTTCATTTCAAATGTATATGATTTCAGTTTTAGGTCACAATCTGGTTCATAGGACATTTTCTGTAGTGGATGATGTTAGTTTTGCTTATATAAATGTATATAAATTAGTACATTCAGAGAACAATGCATTCAGAGACATCACTTAAGAGTAAAAAATGATACAATCACTAGATGGCAATGTTTTTCTTCCTTACACTTGCATTCTGTTTTGTGAGGAGGATTTTATAAATTATTTTCTCCCAAGCCACCTGCTTCTCTGTCGTGCTTTAAATAGATTACGTTCAGTGGCGTCCGAAACTCACTGTTGTATTTGGTAATTGTTTTTAATTTCTTTAAAAGCTGTTATTTCTACATTATTCTTGACTGGTAGAGCATGTACCTTCTTGCATGCCTCTGAGGTTGCACATACATACCCATGTATGTTTGCCAGGGAGAAACTCCAGTAAGGTGGAATTGATGAGCATATGTATGGGTGTTAAGACTATTGCTGTTATTCCAGAAACAATCATTATGCACTTGAGAAACTCTCTCTATGCCTCAATATTTTTCAGTTTAATCTATAGAAGTAGATAGTAAGTGTATCCAAGTGGCTTAAACCACAGCCTTATGATGAGCCTTACCAGTCAGTAAATGTTAAACTATAATTATTACATGTTAATGTTTGTAGTCTTTAGCTACTTAAAAAATGCCGTACAAATTCATTTCTAATTTCCATTTTTTATTTTTGCAATAGTGAAATAAAAAGACAGGTGGTCTGCAGGAGCCAGCCAAGTGAACCATGGTGAGCTCCTTCGTTTGCTGCATTTGCACTCCCTATCAATGTGCTGTTGATGCCCAGTATATATTCCACATATAATGGGGAGGCTCCTGGGCTTGGGAGTGTGATCGTCTATGCTATTAAATTATTAGAACAGTTCATGTCATGCTTTTGGCCTGTCCCCGCTACAGTTCCACCAGTTAGCCCAGGCCAAGGACAGTTACAAATATAAAGCTTAAATGCAGCCACCTTGCTTTGGAGGCCGGCAGTTTAGTCATAGGGACATGGCCAGATGATGCTAATTGATCTCTGTGCCAAGGAACAGGCCTTGCTGCTGTTCAGTTCACTAGGCTTGATGCAACTAATGAGTTTCAGGTGAGCAAGAGGGATAAAAGGTGTGGTCTTGGCTTGATTTCCCTGCAGTTCTGCAGCTCATCCCTTATGCCTACTGTATGGGACCTGAGATGTAAGCAGCTTTAATAAATCCAGTCTGATAGGGTTTTGAGAGGTGGAACTGTGCTAGGATTTTGGAGTAGAAATCCTTCTCCCCGCTCCTGTTCCTACAGAGACAGGTGGGGAAGAGCAATGGGACACGAGTGCAGTCATTGACTGCAGATTGAGAGAAATGAGAGCTGGTGGCTTCTTGGAAGCAGATAGTTCTGAAATGGCTCCATAAATTTAAGTTTGTCTTTTATCGGAAGTCAAATGGAAGGGGTTGGAAGTATTTAAAAAAAAAAAAACTTTTTCCATTTCCAACTTTTTCCACTGAATCTACAAGGTCAAGTACTTCTTAGATCGACATTTTGAGACAAACCAGTTGTCTCAATGCACTGTGCCACGTTTCTAAAATAAATAACTTGAAGATTGATTTCTATTTATAAATTATTGGAATAACTTATACTCAATTAGTCATTTCTGTGTTAAAGATGAATGGCTAATTTATTGGGCAGGAAATACATAATGTGTTGCATAGGTGGGCCTGTAGTTTGTAGTTTCAGGCTTAACTTCATCTCCACAGTGGAGCTCTGGTTGATGTTTTGAGGGTATATATTAAGATAAGGAAAAATTTTCTCTAGGAAGTAAAGAAATATATTAACCATGAGTAATATAATGGACCTCAAAGTCATAAACTTTAGCAACTAATATAGGTAGAGCTGGAAAAAATTTTCGCTGTAATTCCTACATGCCTGCTTTCCACATTCATAAAGTAGGCTATTTCAGAGCATTTTTTTTTAAAGGACTTGTGAGATTTACTTTCTGAGTACTTTCTGGAGAACTGTCTTCTAAGTAAATCTTTTTCAGGTTATCGCTGAAGTTCAAAACTTATTAAATTTTGCCAACTCATTTTTTTGTATATAATAGCTTCTTTTCTCATTTGTCTGATGAAAGATAGACTAGCTGTTTATATAACAAAATCTGTTCTGTAACACAGTTGCAAAGGAACAGCATTTATCACCGTTTGTTAGACTTAATACTTCATTTCCTGGTTCTTAGTGACTTTCTAGTGATTGTGGT